GTTAGGGTGCTTTATTATGTGGCACGCTCTGGAAGATATGTCGTTATTGTAGAAAAAAAGGTATCAGCGGTTGGTATTAAAATTTTGTTATTTTCCAATGCTACGCGTTTAATTGAATTTGTTTCGGAGGCCTTGTTTGTTTTGATGTTCTTTGATGATAATGGTGCAGAAAGATTTTAACTGACGTTTCGATTGGTAAAGTTGTCGATCTTGCGAGTTGCTTTAAACAAACTTTGCTGCAATTCGAACTCGTTTTTCTTTATCCATTTTCTGTGGTTCTAATTTCCCTGTCGTCTCGGACTTTCTATTATCCGAAGAAAGCATTAATATTCAAATATTAATAGGAAAATCTAATTAAACCACGTTGTCAGTAGAAAATGGCGGACGTTGTTGACGGTTTTCCTAATCCTTTCAGAGCAGCGGCAACATGTTTAGTTTTGTTGTATCTCTCAGTATTCCCTGCCATTTTTTTTTTCTCAATTTGTTTTTGTTAGAAGAGATGCAACAATAAAAGCAATGATGATAAAAAAAAATCTAATAATACATATGACGATTAAATATTTTCCGGATAGCTTTTCAAGTATCGATAATAATAAAATTAATTACATAGAAATATTTGTCGATGAAGGCTTCTCTGATTATTCAGTGGGATATATTCAATTCAATATCAGCTTATAGATGAACTTATTAACAGAAATCAATAATATACTTTTATATGCGTCGATATCCTGACTTTTACATAGACTGGTCGCTTTGTTGTTTGTCTTATACATTCGATGTAACAATAATAAATATTTTTCTATTTTCTGTAGACGTAGACAGCCATAGTTCTTCTTGTCTGTTTTTTCTCTTTGTCTTTACGAAAATTTCATCCAATACGATGCCAAAGAGCCTCTCAAGGTAGAGCGTAAATAAACATTGTTATAAAACCAGAAACGGAGGAAGTAAGGAGTGTATATTATGAGGATATGCAGAATGATAACGGTTGATCCTACACTTGAAGAGGTAAAAATTACAGTGATCGGGAAAGCATCCTCTCGGGAGCCTGCTCCACAAAGTCGCATTTCTTGCGAAGTAACTTTCTAAATGACACTTACTAAATCCTTTTCCATTTTATACATTCAATGTACCAATAATATTTTGATTCTGCTTTCTGTAGACGTAGACGATCATGGCTCTTCACAACTTCCTGTCTTTTTTGCTCTCTCTCTCTCTTTACCAAAATTTCATCCAATATAATGCCAAAGAGCCACTCAAGGTAGAGCAGTACTAAATATCGTTGCTTTAAGAGTGTACAGAGCGGAAATAAAAGTGTATATCATGAGAATATGTAGGAGAGATAACGGTTAATCCTAGACTTGAAGAAGACTGCAACCATCAGGGAAGCATCCACTTGGGAGTCTATTCAAAAGTAGCAGTTTTTGCGGAGAAGCTTAGTTATTCCTTTGATTTTCAATTTTAAATCTTCGATGCTACAATGAAAAAATTTGATTCTATTTTTCTGTTTTTTATATACCATGTTCCATCAGGACTTAGACGATAATGGCTCTTCACAATTTCCTGTTTTTTTTTTTTTTGCTCTTTCTGTACACTATTCACATTATTCGGACGATTGTCCTCATCTTTCTTTGTCACCATATTTATCACAACGTTTCGGCCGATGTACACTCCGGCCTCCTTCAGGTGGTTGGAATGTCGAACTGAACCCTTTATTTCGCTCGCTGGGGTAGACTGTAGTTCCACGTGCCATGTTTAATGGATGTCAGTTATCAGTTATCTCCTGTTAATTCCACTCTCCAAATTCTCCATGGCCTTAACCATTGTGCCATGTGTCCTTAATGACACCTTGTACAGTGGATAAAAGCGTGATACTGCGTATCGTGGATAAAGACGTGATACTGTATATCGCAATTTTATAAAATACAAGGTCAAAGAGTCCCTTAAGGTAGAGCGTGGATAAACGTGGTTGTTGTAAGAGCATATAGGGAGGAAATAAGATTTTATTATGATGATAGGTTGGATAGATAATGGTTGATCCGAGAAGTTAAGATTGAAGCGAGCAGTATTTCGCGAGAATTCACTAATTTTTAACCGTAATGTTGAATGTGTTAACATAATTCAAAATTTTAACAAGATAAAAAAAACACGAGTTGATGTTAAAAAACTGCCGCAAAATATCGTTGATTTATTTAAGATGGAATAATCTATTATGACATGTCTCTAATTTGTAATTAGAGACATTGTATTTATTTTCTCTAATTGAATTGTTCACCTGTGGAGTAATGGATAGCGGCTCGAATTGAGGAATCGGAGAGCCGAGTTCGAATTCCAGTCGAATCCATTACATTCACTTACGGGCTAATACCACTGGGAAATATATGAATCCTCATCTTCTAAAGCTATGAACAGACCGGCTTCTATAGCCTTGGATGGCAACTTATGAAAACTGAGGGGTAGTAGACTGGAGAGTACGTCTGATAGATTGGGGGTGGGGAGTGTATCATAGACTCGGGGGCACAAGACACTTGCATCGATCATGTGTGAGTGTATGTACAGCAGTGAGTGAATCGCCACATCCCGCCTGGGATGGATAGAGAGAGAGGACGTTGTGAGATCTGAGATAGGTAGCTAGATAGATAGATAGATATGAACGGACTTAGAAAGAAAAAAACAAACAAACAAATATGTGGACAGACTAGGTTAGAGAGAGAGATAGAGAGCTATGGGAAGAGCTATGGGAAGAAACGGGTATATATAGAGAGAGAAATAGAAAAGGAGATATGAACATATTGAGATGGATAGAGAGAGAACGTTGTGAGCACTGAGATAGATAGGGAGAGGGGGAGAGATATGAACAGAATTGGATAGATAGAGAGAAAAGAAGAGGAAGAGGTGAACAGACTCAGATAGAGAGAGAGAGAAAGCAGAAGAGAGAAAGAGAGAGATAGGTGAACAGGGATAGATAGATAGATAGATAGATAGATAGATAGATAGATAAAAACAAGCTCTGACTTTTTAGAATATTTTCTTTGTGGGCTTTATATTTAACAATCTGCCATCCATCTGATCTTTTTTGCAATCATATTTAAACAGACATCAGAAAACGCTCACACACACACACACACGCACACACACACACACACACATATATATATATATATATATATATATATTACGATGAGAGGCTGAAAATTCTTCACCCAAACAAGAGGACCTTCTAAAAATCAATATAATGTTTAAATTTTAATAGGATTTTCTGCACCTAATATATATATATATATATATATATATATATACATATATATATATATATATATATATATATATATATATATATATATATATATATATATATATATATATATATATATATTATATTATTATTATTATTATTTATTTATTTATTTATTTACTAACTTTATTACATAGTTGCGATAAACAAAGCGAATAAGCAACGCTCAACATATTGACGGGAAAAAAAGTGGCTCGACATCCATTGACAGAATTCGATGAAGCAGCGAAATTTCTCGCCGTAGCAGACGCCATTATTACTCGGAGATGCCCATTGGCGCGTTACACCAGCCAAAGAAGCGACGGAAAAAATGGACAAATAATTTGAAATCAAGGAGCAGATGAAAACTTTCTATTCAAATGCCGGGACGATTAGGGATTATTTTTATACACAATTTATAGCCTCTCGTTTGTCGAATGAAAGCAACAAACGGATTTCTATGATTGTTAGTGTTACTTAAATTTTGCAACATGGCGCCGAGTGCTTACGTCATAGATATTTTCCCGCCCTTCTGGCGTCAGCCATATTGGATACTTTGCCTGTTGCTGTGACTACAAAGTCGACTTGTTCAGCGAATGGTTGTTCTCTTTGTAAAAACAAATAATCTACAGAAGCTTTTTTCTTTTCAGGTTTTTTTTTTTTTTTTGCACTTTGTGTTATTGAAATTACTTTCAATTATATTTTTTTCCATATTCCCTACTTTGTTGTAGAGATTGAAACGTTGTTTCTTTTGCGGGATGTTGCCATTTTTTTTTTTTTTTTTTTAAATTTCGACGTTTTTTCTTTTGAAATAAAGTAGTAAATATCTCGATCAGAGAATTGTGACAATTGACTAAAAAAAAAAAATGGTAATATGAATTTTTCTCAATTTTAAAATCAGAACAAAAGAAAGATGGGGCCGAAACAACTGGACAACAAAATCAAAAATGGAAAATCTACTGATACGATGTTTCCTTTGATGCCGTGTTAGGTCATGTTGTGAAAATATGTATTTCGAGGTCGGCGGTTTACTGTCGAAAGGACAATAGACAGAGTATCCAATATGGCTGATATTAATACTTGGACTTTTTTCGTCTCTCGTTAAATTTATTGCCAGACGTGATGGCTTCTACGCATCTCACGTCTTTTTCATTATTTTATCGTATATCATTTTTCTTTCTTTTGTGATTTCCTTTCTTTTTTTTGGGGGGGGTCATTCTTTCTTGAGATTTTTATTTCTTTTCTTTCTTTCGTATTTTCTTTTCTTTCTTTCATTCGTGATGAACTTTCATTCTCTCGTCATTTCCTTTCTTCTTTATTTTTTTCCGTCCTTTCTTTCTATCCTTTCTCTTCTGTTTTCCTTTCTTTCTTCCATTCTTTCCTTCTTCCTTATGTGTTTCCCTTTCTTTCTTTTGTGTTTCTTTTCATTACTTCCTTCTTTTTTTTTCCAGTTTCATTCTTTATTTTCAAATCAATTTTCAATTCTTACACACAGGACATTCACAGATAGACATACAGGACGATACTGAGATAGATAGATAGATAGATAGATAGATAGATAGATAGATAGATAGATAGATAGATAAAAACCTCTAGAGATATATTTTAACAGACTGTGATAGATAGAGAGAGAGATAGAGAGAGAGGGAAATATTAACAGGCTGAGATAGATAGATAGATAGATAGATAGATAGATAGATAGATAGAAACCACTATAGATATATATTAACAGACTGATATATATATATTTATATATGTATATATATATATATATATTAACTGAGATATATTACGCTGAAATCGATAGATATGAACAGACTAAGATAGATAATAGATAGATAGATAGAAACCTCTGTAGATATATATTAATAGGTTGATATATATATATATATATATATATATATATATATATATATATATATATATATATATACATGTATATATATATATATTTATATATATATGTATATATATACATATATATATATATTAGCAGGCTGAGATAGATAGATAGATAGATAGATAGATAGATAGATAGATAGATAGATAGATAGATATTAGGTCGAAACATAAATAATATCCGTTTTTCAGAACCAACTGTAATGACGAATGTATCATCCTAACTGACCCTGCTTTAAATATATGATAACAGGCGATGAAAAGTAGGTCGCATACGATAATGTTCAATGCAAAAAAGCTAGTGAATTGACAACCAAACCATAGAGCCAATAATTTAACAAATGGTTCTACGGTAATTCACTAATTAATTTTGTCATTATTATTATTATTGTTATTAATATCATCATGACTTAGAGAAGAGAGTACGATTGAAGAAAAAAAAATAAAAGACACTCTGTTTAACAATATTTCGACAATATGTCTGTCTTCTTATGGTTAAAAATTACATACAAACATGATAAATATTTTTTAAAATCTACAAAAAATTACAAGTCTTTATCCAAACACTGCTTTTTTGAGAAAAACGGTTGTATTGCTAATCAGAAAATCAAAACGAACGAAACAGCCAATGTTGAAAAATATTGGAAAGAGTTGCGTCAATAATTTTGCTTATTATTATTATTATTGTGTGGTATCATCTGGCCGGATATTTTATTCAAGTGATTAACTAGCAAGTCCCCTATGAGTGTTACGGGCACAATTCGCCGATCACATCATTGATAATCGTAGTTTTAAGTTTCCACATTTTTGTTACCTTGATCCGCAGCTGCTAACAATTTGACAGTTTTTGAAAGTCTTCTTTTTTTTTTTTTTTAGAAATATTGGAATCCTGTAGTCAACTTATATCAAGTATTTAGTAGGTTTCCTTTTTGAAATATTTTATGACTCTGCCTGGTCTATTTACATCAATTTTCCTGTCTGTGAGGATTGAGAAATTTCACAGTATAGTCACGCCATCACCATTTGTAACATCATTCGCGTGATATTATGTGACATGTATCCAGGACTTCAGTATCACAGTTTGAACAGACATGCCAATGAATATAGTGTCCTAGCCTTTCATGTTTAATAATGTATTCTTTCTCAACAAACACTGATACATTATTGTTAGCATTATTATTATTATTATTGAATATATGATAAAATAACTCAGGAAGAGAAATGTTGTACGTGTGGTAGGGTCGCTGGTGTGTTGTTCATTTAGAATCCTTAGAACGCAGAGTAACAGTAAATGCACATTTATATTTCCAGCAGCTGCAACGTGTCCATAAAAGTTTGTTCGAAAAACGCGCACTTTTGTTACTTCGATCTGCAGGTCTGTATAGTTTGACAATTTTTGAAAATCTTTTTTTAGAAACATTGGAATCCTGTAGGCAAGGTATATCAATTATTTGGCAGGTTTCTTTAATGGCTATTTCTTCTCTATTTGCATTCCTGTCTGTGAGGATTGGGAAATTCCACAATATAATCTCGCCAGCACCATTTGTGGCATCATTCGCGTAGTGTATCTACCATGTATCCGGGACTTCAATACCAGAGTTCGAACAGACATCACAATGAGCGTGTCATGTCTAATAATATACTCTTTGTTAACAGGGACTGGCCACAATTATACAATGTGGTCAACGGTTTCATCAAATTTATGGTATAAGCGACAGGCGGGATTTGAGACATCTTTTTTGAGTTTAGCCTTGTCGGCATTAGCTGGAAGATATTGGTCTTGTGCTACTGTATTATTATTATTGTTGTTGTTGTAGCATTATTATTATTATTATTATTATTATTATTATTGTTGTTGTTGTATGTCCCCATTCTCATTAAAACAGTAGTAAATACTGTATGTTGGTCTGCAGTTGGAGATTCATCTCCAGCTGTGCCGGTCAAACTCTTTGCCTCCGGGCAAAGAGAATCTGCAGACGAGGCTTTGTCAAAGGGCAGAGTCTCATCTCGGGAAATGATACTGATGTGTCCAGGACTTTTTCTCACATGACTTTCGGTTCCCTTATTTACATGACCAAAGACTGATATGTTATTATTATTATTATTATTATTATTATTATTGAATATATGATAAAATAACTCGGGAAGAGAAGAGTAATGTTGTACGTGTGGTGGGCTCGCTAGTGTGTTGTTCATTTAGAATCATTAGAGCACAGAGTAACAGTAAATTCACATTTATATTTCCAGCAGCTGCAACGTGTCCATAAAGGTTTGCTCGAAAAGCGCCCAGCGCTCGTCAGTTGAAAAAATGCCGCGTCAGCAAAAAATAAAAAATCTGAAACTCAGTTGCACTGTTCTACCAGTCCCACCATAATCACCTGATCTTATAATCACCTGACCTTATAATCACCTGACCTTATAATCACCTGACCTTATAATCACCTGACCTTATAATCACCTGGTCTTATAATCACCTGACCTTATAATCACCTGGTCTTATAACAACTTGACCTTATAATCACCTGACCTTATAATCACCTGACCTTATAATCACCTGGTCTTATAACAACTTGACCTTATAATCACCTGACCTTATAATCACCTGACCTTATAATCACCTGGTCTTATAAACAACTTGACCTTATAATCACCTGACCTTATAATCACCTGACCTTATAATCACCTGGTCTTATAACAACTTGACCTTATAATCACCTGACCTTATAATCACCTGACCTTATCATCACCTGGTCTTATAACAACTTGACCTTATAATCACCTGACCTTATAATCACCTGGTCTTATCATCACCTGATCTTAGAATCACATGACCTTATAATCACCTTATAATCACCTGATCTTATAATCACCTGGTCTTATCATCACCTGATCTTAGAATCACATGACCTTATAATCACCTTATAATCACCTGATCTTATAATCACCAGGTCTTATCATCACCTGATCTTAGAATCACATGACCTTATAATCACCTTATAATCACCTGATCTTATAATCACCTGGTCTTATCATCACCTGATCTTAGAATCACATGACCTTATAATCACCTTATAATCACCTGATCTTATAATCACCTGGTCTTATCATCACCTGATCTTAGAATCACATGACCTTATAATCACCTTATAATCACCTGATCTTATAATCACCTGGTCTTATCATCACCTGATCTTAGAATCACATGACCTTATAATCACCTTATAATCACCTGATCTTATAATCACCTGGTCTTATCATCACCTGATCTTAGAATCACATGACCTTATAATCACCTTATAATCACCTGATCTTATAATCACCTGGTCTTATCATCACCTGATCTTAGAATCACATGACCTTATAATCACCTGGTCTTATAATCACCTGACATTATAATCACCTGACCTTATAATCACCTGATCTTATAATCACTCGACCATATAATCACCTGAGCTTATAATCACCTGAGCTTATAATTACCTGATCTTATAATCACTTGACCTTATAATCACATGATCTTATAATCACCTGATCTTATAACCACATGACCTTATAATCACCTGATCTTATAATACCCTGACCTTATAATCCCCTGATCCTATAATCACATGATCTTATAATACCCTGACCTTATAATCACCTGATCTTATAATCACCTGACTTTATAATCATCTGACCTTATAATCACCTGACCTTATAACCACCTGATCTTATAATCATATGAAATTTAATAATGGAGCACATCCGAATATTTGCAATAGAAACAGCGAGAAACATGCGGCTTTGCGTTTGTGGGCAAGAGGTTGTAGGGTGGAAAATATGTGAAATCTATCAAGGCTGGAACGTGAAGATTGAATAGCTCCATCACAGATACGGCAGTAATACTCCACTATGGATCAAGTCTGGCTCTTGTAAGGATAATGAGTGACAGACGAACTCTATCAAGGCTGGAATGTGTGGATTAAGCAATCCCTGGCCAGATATGTCATCAGTACACCATTTTTGCTCTAATCTCCTTCTTACAAAGATGAAGAATGGCAGAAGGACCCCATAAAGTCTGGAAGAATGCTTACGTCTTATATCGACGACATGTCTTATATCTTTATCGATTATATATACTGCTGAGAATTGTTTTCTGTGTGCCCCAAGTATATGGCCTTGTGCCAGATTACGCTCTGTTTAACGAATCCCAGTTTTTAGAGCGTAAAGAAGAAGCGTTTGTTTAAATAACTGCAAAGGAGCTTTGGGGAAAGCTAATGAAATGGTGAACTAAGTATGACGTGAGAAATTGCGAAGGTGGATTGCTCAAGGGACATGAGTAAGACCTGGGTGACAGTTCAGTTTCGATCTTTGTCCCCAGGCTTCTCACCCTAAGTTGTTTTTCTTTTATTCTTTTTCAAAATAATCCTGTCGAAATTCCTGATAATCACGTCTGTCTCCCGCTTGTGTTCCGCTTAGTACTTAACCTTCCGTTGTTTGCTCGCTAGTCGCATCATTGAATTAATCAGTTCCTCGTGTGGGGGAAAACAGCACGGCACCATCACTCCACAAAATACGGTAACTCTCGTTGGTCTGATGTATGGGAACCCCCCTGTGTACTGACCAGTCGGTCAGCTCATTACTTATTTCTTTGTTTTTTTTTTCGTTTTTTATCTACCTTCATACATCCGTTTCTGCGCGTGCGTGTGAGCATGCGCGAAGATGTGTGCGAACAAAAAAATTCCAAAGAAAAATATATGAACGAAAGGAAGGAATATATATATATATATATATATATATATATAAGAAAGAACAGTAAAGATATATAATCCGGTGTTCTTATAGATACATACAGAAGGAAAAACCCAGACACCCCTTGTCCAGTTGAAGTAGATTTATCTGTAACCATGGAAACGTGATTTAGCTGTGTCTTTAAAACCCAGTAATTTTAAAAGTTACTCCAAAATTCGCTTGAGGATGAAATGGAACTAATGTCTTTAATTTAATTGCAAAATTAAATTCGTGGCTTTTAGCTTCCATTTTTGAAACATGGTTAGAACTGTGTAGCAAAAAAACATTTTAAATCAATTAATTTATAATATATATATATATATATATGTCATGAAGAACTTGGTAATCCGTATGGGTAATCCCAAGGAGGATGAAATCCTGAGAGCTTGCTGTAACATTCAT